ACAAAAAAACCGCAGGAACTAAGTTTACCACCTAATACATCGATAACAAAAATGCATAAAAAACAATAAATGCATTAAACTGAAAGAAATAATCGAAATCATTTTGTAAATAACCACATAAACTTTAGAGATATTAAATAAAATAGATAAGCGAGTCAACGCGCGTATTTGCTAGGCACATTATAATATACTGTGAACAGTATAAATACACATTATATAAGCATAAATTATAAGAACATCGTTGGAGTCATTGGAATCACCGCGTGCGCGCTCGATCGATAGGTTAAGCAACATTTTAACGCAGTCATGGATGAGAACATGGACATGGATGAGTGACCGCTTCGGATTCGAAATTATCGAGGAAGAATTCGCGAAAGTTTTAGAGTGTGTTTAATAATTTTCGGTTCGTAGCAGATATGAGACATGACAAAATTTGGAATTAGTTATGTTTTTATGATAGTTACGCGGAAAACTTTTAAGCGGACATTTTTACATTATATCAAGGTTTGTGCAACGTTGATTTAATGTTTCTCAATGTTACTGCAATATTGACATTGTTGTAATTCAACATTTTTTCAACATTTTTTCAACATTGATTCAACATGACAATAATTCAAATCTGATTATTACGTGTCCTGTATATGCTATAAAAATGATATCTGATTATATATGAAAGATCTAATCAGATCTTGACAAAATTCATATCTGGCTGTAACGGCCTTGCGTTACGTGCGGGATAGTCTTAGTCGGTGTGGACCGGGTTTCGTTTGTAAAATGAAAAGCAGTGGTGTAGGTTATAATAAGGTGGAACTATATTCTTATTTCGAAGCTATGTACAATTATTTACATGCGACGTTACGCCGTTGGCGCGTGGTCGCGTTTTTGCTCTCGTCGGGAGCCGATGTTGTCGTCTCGCGATCAGCTGCGAGCGTCGAGGCGCGCGAGCGTCCGGCGGGACGCGGTCGGGAATGTTTCCTGATCTGCTATTGTTCGTCGATCGGAGTTCGTTGCCTCGTCGGCTTTAAGCTGTTTATTTACCCTGGTTTTAACCTGGCTGATTTAAAGGCGCTCGTCGTCACCGGTAGCCTACGCCCTGTATGCGTTCGCGATCGTAGGTGTTAGCGGCGTGGCGTGCGGAGGAAAGGATGTCGACGTCGCGTATCCACTTCGGTCGACGGAATGTCTAGAATCTCTAGAAATTTCGAGTTCTGGTCGGTCGTGCGCCTGAGAGGAGCTTTCCGATCAATCTCTCTCGATCTCGTTTTGTAACGGCCTTTTATACTAAATTATAACAAACAGTAAGGCTGTTTGTTGACCTTGCGGTTATCCCGCGCGCGGTTGTTCGGCATTTCTTTGTTCATATTATAAATATTGTTTCTAGCGTCGTGACGATTTTCCGGATCGTTACATGGCTTTTATCTAAACTTTTTTTTCCCGGAAATGTATCAATTTCCATAGAAAATACATTTTGTTTCTTTGTTTGCATTTATACTTCTCTTGAGCCTTTATAATCCATCTTTTCTCTCACTACACAACTACTTCGTACAAAAGCCAAACGGATTCCAACGAACACCAACATATTTCGTCTAGGTATAGCTTCCGGAATGGAGCCATGCCTTGAATCAGCGATATGCCGACGTTTCGCAAACGTTGCAGTTTGCATCATCAGGGCTGAGAACTCTGATACTGAGCTCCCTTGGGTAAAGGTAGTCCTTATATGCCCCCCTCCCCCCTCCTTTGTGTAGATGGTGTTTAAGGAGTAGGGGACGAGGCTTGAATCCAGCCAATCAGCGTATTTTTAATTGATCAGCTGGTCAATTAAAAAACCGGGAGGGCAGTATGCCAAATAAAGTTTACTTGCATACCTTTGTCTCGGTTGAGGTTGTTGGGATGTTTCAAAATTTCTAGACCTTCACGATGTTTTCTGGCAAAATAACTCTGTGAGGGAGCCAATCTGGTGGCTTTGTCATATTGTACAGAGTGTCCAGTCTTCAGCTAGGGCTGATTGAGTAAAGTGACCATACTTGGTACATCGCTGGTGTTCCTTGATTCGCGTACTGATCTTCCTCCCGGTTTCTCCTATATAAACTTTACCACAAGAGCAAGGGATCTTATATACACCTGATGTTTCTAGGCATGATTTTTGATCCTTCGGATATGGGAGTAAATGGGAGAGCTTCCTATGGGGTTTGAAGATTACTTTGATTTTGTGTTTACCCAAAATCCTGCTGATAGGTTTTGTTATGCCCTGGAGATATGGAAGGACAGCCGTTTTTCTCTTTTCTTTCTCTTCATCTAGTGTGTCAGTGTTTTTAGGACTGACAATTCTGTTCTTCTGGTTTTTTATTATTTGCGAGATGTTTTTGCTGTTGTATCCATTTTTGGTTAAGGCTGTACTGAGGTGTTCTAGTTCTCCATTCAGAGAAGATGGTTCCGAAATTGTGAGCGCTCTGTAAACCAATTAACTTATGACAGAATTCTTTTGCGAGGGATGATGATGAGAAGTTGCATATTGATATCGGTCCGTGTGTGTTGGTTTTTGGTAGACCTGGTGACCTAAGGTGCTATCTTGGTTCTTTTCGACTAGCACATCCAGGAAGGGTATTTGATTATTTTGTTCCACTTCCATTGTGAACTGAATACTGGGATGTTGTGAATTGAGAAACCCGAGAAACTGAAAAAGAGTTTCCCTGCCATAATTCCAAATTACGAAAGTATCGTCCACATACCGAAACAATGTGGATGGTTTCAATGGTGCGTTCCTCAAAATTTTATTCTTAAAGTGTTCCATAAAGATGTTTGCAATGATAGGAGATATAGGA